GTGAAACCCTGATGGTCAGGATGGCAGACGATATTCTTAAGGAAGTGCAGAAGAACAACATTGTGATTGTAGTCCTACTTGATCTCTCTGCTGCTTTCGACACGGTTGATCATACAATCCTTCTTAAGAAGCTGGCAAAAGATTTTGGTATTACGGACTCTGCATTGAAATGGTTTAGTTCATACCTCTCAGGCAGGTTTTTCAAGGTTAAGTTAGATGACTCATTATCTGACTTCCTGTGTCTGTTGTTTGGTGTACCCCAGGGCTCTCTATTGGGACCTATCCTGTTCATCTTATAGTTATACATTAAGCTGCTCCAGGAAATAGCTAGAAAGTATGGTCTCGATATACAGCTTTATGCAGATGACTCACAACTTAATATAGCTTTCCACCCGATGAGACCAATGGAGCTGCAGAATGTCACTAGTAGGATCAATGACTGTCTGTCTGAAATCAAAGTATGGATGGTTAATAATTTCATGAAACTGAATGAGAGCAAGACAGAATTGTTAGTCATTGGAAAGCCTTTGGTACTGAATAAGTTTGACCTTGAAATAACAATAAAGTTTACACCAACTGTATGTAAAAAAGATACCTGGAAGAGTCTTGGAGTGTTACTAGATGAATCTCTCAACATGCAAAGGCAAATAAACAACGTTAGGAAGAACTGTTGCTGGACAATGAATAATCTAAGAACTATCAGAAAGTATCTAGATGAGAGAGTTAAGCTCATGCTGGTCAAACAACTGATCATATCAAAGCTGGACTATTGTAATGCCCTTTACATGAATCTTTCAAAGACTAGAGTGAAGAAGCTGCAATCTGTTCTAAATGCAGGGATACGTTTCATTTATGACATCTATGACAGAAATACTGACTTGTCTCCTTTCTACAAGAAAGCTCATATCCTCCCTATTGAAAAGAGGATATTTTTCAAAGTGTGCCTCATCTGTTTCAAAGTGGCTCATGGATTGGCACCAATGTACCTCCAAGAGTTGGTTCAAATGAACAGAGATTATAAGGCTGTCAAAGAAACCAGAACAAAAACAGCATGCAACCTTCTTATGAAGATACCTAAGTTCTCTAAATTGAAGGCAACTAGCAGGCGGTTCAGCAACTATGCACCTGAATCATGGAATTCTCTCCCTCTTAATGTCCGTAACATCGATAATATTGTCTCTTTTAAGGGTAAGTTAAAGAACTATTTGTATGATCAGCTATAGCCTGGTTAAGCTATTTTTTGTGGCTTCTAGTCTTTTTTGTGTTATTTTTTGTTTTCCGAGTTTCCACTTCTTGTTTTTCTGGTTTTTATCGGTGTGTCAATAAAATCAATTATGTAATATGTATACTTTAACCATTTTTTGCGACAGTTAATCTGATATTATCTCTTTAACATTATTTAGTATTTTTTGATTTATGAGACCCGTGTTTTGTTTTTAACTTTCTGCTCCGAGGAGGAGAGAAAGTTATTTGAGGAGAGCCGCTCAGACATGGGCACCGTATTGTGTAAATTATTTAGTTATCTTTATACAATATCTTTGTCGCATAGTAGCGGGGTAGTAAATACAGTGTTTCGTTTCGTTTCGTTTCGTATCTAGCAACCTGCAGTTGGAAATTTTATCTAAATCCCTAAACTAGTACTCGATTCCTAGTCGTAACTCGTATGTGATTTTATAAAATTTGGTCTGTGGTCGAAATATAGCGTACCCTACAATTTAAATCTATAACACGGAGTACGATCATGAGTTACCCGGTGCGCCATGATAGCAAAAATTATATTGTATATGCTTACTAACAATTGATTGTGAGATAGGTTAAGCACCAAGTCTTAGTGATCAATTGTCTCAATTAGCTCTCATTTAGACAATACGATGTGCAAATGATTATACTTGAACCGCATGAGATAAGTGGAAAGCAAACGAACGAACGGCGAGTTCTGCAACTAACAAAGTAACAAGGTGTAGATTTAATTTTTCCTTTGTAGTTTAGATTTTGTGAGATGAGTTAAGCTCCAACTCTTAGTAATCAATTGTCTCAATTAGCTCCCATTATGATTATACGATGTGCAAATAATTATATTTGAACCGCATGAGATAAGTGGAAAGCAAACGAACGAACGGCGAGTTCTGCAACTAACAAAGTAACAAGGTGTAGATTTAACTTTTCCTTTGTAGTTTAGATTTTGTGAGATGAGTTAAGCTCAAACTCTTAGTGATCAATTGTCTCAATTAGCTCCCATTATGATTATACGATGTGCAAATAATTATATTTGAACCGCATGAGATAAGTGGAAAGCAAACGAACGAACAGCGAGTTCTGCAACTAACAAGGTGTAGATCTAATTTTTCTCTGTAGTTGCGATCTTCGCTTGCACTTGCAGTAGTTGCGAATGGTTGCTTGAGATCGAAGATTTTTTCCGTTCACCCTTTTGTAAAAAGGCAATAGTGAAAGGTTAGGAATGGACGTTTTTACAGAAATACGTTGATTTTGGAGATAGCGGTAGGCGGGTCTGAATATGTTGTCATCTGTCCTTCCGTCCATTACCATGACAACCAGCGCGCAGTGCAGCGCGCGAGGATTGCTTGTGGAGATGTGATGTATAGATAGCCTGTGGTCAATGAATGCGCGGCGCGACCAGCGACTGTGTTTCAGTGTATATAAGTAGGTGATAATCAATAATTATTTTGTTTCTCAGATTTACAAATGTTTGTTATCATGGTATAGTTCTAACGATGATGAGATCAGAACACACGGCCATAATTTTGGGAAAACTTGCATTGTTGGAATATCGTGATTTTAAAACGGCATTGAATCAAAAAAAGTGTTACGAAAAAACGGCGTTATTTTGCTGAAATTTGGGCTCAGCGTCGGACTGTTTTCAAAAGCTCATGATAAATTGTAATAAAATGATGCAATCATGAAAATTTCTGGAATCTATGTACAAATAACTTTTCCAAACGATAGCATAAAGTATGATAAGTTTACAAATATCCGTGTATTTGATAAACGCAATAATATAAGTCAAGTCAGAAACACGCCTACTCGCACACATTTTGAAATATAACTCCAGCTAGCAACGGCGCAAAACAACCAAAGTTTCAGTGAAATGGTGCCCACATGTCTGTGGAACGCGCATTAGAACTATCGCACGTGAGAAATGTTTCAGTCAGTCTACCTTGTTTGGCGCGCTGTTTCGTTTCCGTTACAAATTTTGACCTTGTACGCCATTTTGTCGCCATTTTGTCGCCATTTTGTCAATTTATACGTAATTTCGTAAATTTCGTCAATACCAGGTTTAGCCAAATTACACAGAGAGCTTATAATTTACTTCCAACACGAAATAAACATTGCTAAGGCCATGAAGTTACCTAATGGCTACTTTTAACGGAAAATCAAGTCATTCTGTGACATGTAGCGTCCTTTTGTCACTTAAATGGATGACGTTGACTCTAGAACATCGTGAAACTTTCCATCAGTAAAGCTAAAAGTATTTCCATTCTAAAAAACTTTACTTCAAGATAATTGCACGAAAGATGAATAAGTGTCTAAAGGTCCATTTGATTGAACTTGTCTTAAACTTTTAAGCTGTATTACGTCTCGAAATAAGCGATCGACCGCGCAGGATTACCACCTAATATAAGTTAAGGGTGTAATGTATAGTATTAGATTATAAGCGGGCCAAGCCCAATTTGTACGTGGCATGCTTGTATCACGTTGCGACCCCACGGTCGTTTCACTATGGTCCTGACGATCGTCCTGACGATACAGGGGGAGCCGCGCACTTCGTGCGCGGCGGGTCATACAACGTTGAACGTATGACCATGGCATGCGTAGTATAGTGTACTGATGTGTATCAATATTATTATTATGAAGTGAGATGATTGGATTTTATATTTATAGTTATAGTGAACGGAAATCTAGCGTCCGCCAAAACAAAACAACGGGCGCAATTCTTGTTATATATATATATATGTTATTGTTAAAAATAAATTGTGTGCTGCTTACAAGTTCATAATTTAGGATACTGTTTGGTTTCGCCATCGTGTCTATGTTTCAAAGTAAGTCATGTGATTTACACTTGTGTCCACCCTTTAAGAGGGGGGGGGGTTCACCCTGATTTTTTTTGTGAAACTTTGTTTCGAGATAGCAGTTTTCCAACAAACTAAGACCGGTGAGGGGGTCCCGGACCCCAAACGGTGCCCTCGGGGCAGCCACGCCCATATTTGGTCCAAATTAGGCCCAATTTAGCCAAATACCCTAAATATGCCCCTAAACATGCCCAGAAACCAGATTTTAGGTTTTTTACTTGTAGTTAGTGGTCCACTGAACTCGTATATGAATTTTCATCAAGATCGGACAAAAAATGACTGAGTTATGAGCCAAAAACCATATGACCATATCTGGGCATACGCACCAAATTTGATCGATTTTGGCCCATAGATTAGTCAAATATCAATATTTTTGAACAAAACCAACTTGATATGGAAGGTAAGCATATACTACACATTCTCTATGATTATCAGCTCAGTATCCACCTAACTGTGGATTCTCAATTCTGTGTTCAAATAATCGCAAAAAATGAACAAAATCGCCCATATATGATCTCAGTTCGCGATATTTGCGAAACTGATTTCGCTCAAAACAATAGAACTCAATGAGGTTTTAATATTTTTACACGAAATTTTCAGAATCAACGTAGAATCGCATTTTGACCTTAACTTTAAGTTTTGTATTGGAATTTTGAGTTAGGCCTTGAAAAACATTTGGCGGCCAAATTCTGAATTTTGTACGGCAACGTAGACGTTGTTCACCAGAGTTAGGATGGTACAAAAGATGATTAATATTAATCAATGCCTGAGATTTAAATTAAATTAATCGAATCTTCTTATTGAGAGTCAACTGGGCTGGTTCCCGGTCAGTTTATAAATGGTCAGTTTCACAACTCCCTATAATGGCAGAGTTTAAAAGTAAAATACTGAAAAAATAAGTCTTACTCAGAGCGTATCCGACGTTTTGGGTTTCCGGCTTCTTCATCAATTTCTTGACTGTATTTTTTGTAATCTTCTTTCCAAGGAGTTGTTCTGAAATATTGTGATATATGTTGCAAACTGTTATCAGTCATCAGGTTCATTTAACCTGTGTATCAGAACGCAACACAAACTATGTGAATGTCTATTATAGCGTACCTTATCGCTCATAATTATCACGGTCCACGGACGTTACTTTCGCGCTGAAGACCTTATCGTGAATAATTATGTCCGTGAAAATAATGTCTGTGGCATTAAGGTCCGTGAATAATAAAGTTTGGTAATTATTTCCATTAATTTTAAGATTTTAGTGTGTGTAGCTGATTACTATATTAGCTTATTAGTATACTAGGACAAATATGATCACTCCTCAGTCACATCCTAGAGTTCAGAAAAAGAGTAAAACACTTTTCTGGAAATGTTTGTGCGGTCATGAGTGTGAATAATTATGTCCGTGAAAAATTTGGTCGTGAAAATTATGACCGATAACTTGATAGTGATACGGTATACATAACACAGCACAATCTAGCATATCAAAATACAGCAGAGTATATCATATAGTTATAAGTATTACGTACTTGGTACACTCCATGTGGGTTGTTCCGGACATTCAGTAATCTCTATTTGGTTTTTTTATTTTTACTTCTGCCAGTTCTACCATGCACTCCCCTGTGGAAATAAAATAAATAACATTTTTAGATATTTAACAATTCTCTCCTCAACATTGTGTCTCACGATAAATCTTTACTAACGCAATGTTGTTGTCTTCAAAATTTCGGGCTAGAATTAGAAAAAGAATATGTCCAAAACAAGGACATGGATAATGGATTGGACCTAGGACAAATTGAAGTGGCCATAGAACAGGCCTTATTGTATTTTATAATCAAAATAATTATAATCACAATATGCTGTAGGTGTAAGATGCTAGATTTTTCATTTGTGTTTCAAATATTTAACTATGGCAATTCTAACAGTCAAGTTGCTACTTAATGAATGATCGTTTAGCTTTAAGGTTAAGATAATCAGATTCTGACTGATTAAACTCTCAATTAAGCTGTTTCTCTGTTCAGCTGAGTTGTAAGACAATCTCAATGGCAACTCTGATATTGATGGCTTAAACTTTTAAGCTGTTCATATCATTGCAAATAAGCAATCAGTGTCCGCTGCTTTTTTAAATAAAATCCCAAAAGTTCAGCTATAATTACTTAAAACTGTACCTGTATCTAAAATGGTAATTTATCTATTTATGGTAATTATAACAAGAGAATGCGCGTAAATACATGATCGATGCTATTTAATACCTGCTCGCGTCCAAAGAGTGTTGAGGTTTTAGGACTGTGAATAATAGTTATGCATTAAATATTAATATCACTGAGAAATAAACGGATAGGTTATCCGAATATATTAACAAACTAACAAATTAACCTATTTTGCATGTTGGAAGTTCCGAGAGTTGACCGCCGTCACAATTTATGGTTGGGGATCCAGAGATTACGAACCCTTCGTCACAGGTTACCGAGTAAGTAGATCCAGACTCTATTGTCAGTGTATCCGGAGAAACCACACCGTTGTCAATAGTTGTCTTGTTACAGACTGAAAATACCAAAATACATTTAATTATTAAGTGGCACAGTTCTGTATAAAATAGTAATACTAACTTAAACTAGACTTGAAATGACATGCACGTGGGCGACATCTGTGAGTGCGGGCACGTACCTTATCGGACCTTATTTGGACGGACATTACTTGAACGCTGGAGGCCCTAGCGTTCATCTTAATGTCCGTTCAAATAAAGTCCGTTCAATTAATGTCCGTCCAAGTTAAAGTCCGTTGAAATTTTTTTAAAATTTTTCCATTTCGAACTTTTTGTCCAGAATATGACAACTTTGAGAACTTTATTGTGCCGTAAGTTAACGACGGAAAGGTTCTCCTTGGTCTGCCGGAGGCACAGAAAACTCTACTAGTATATGATGTTTTCAAGGGTCACTTGGCGGAAAAAAGTCAACGAAATTATGGCACTCAACAACATAGTTCATGAGCTAGTCCCCGCCAACATGACAAACTTGTTCCAGCCTCTAGATATTACGGTAAATCGTGTTGCCAAGGACATTGTCCGACGTTGTTATAGTTCATATTACTGAGGGGAGGTAATGAAACAGTGCTAGGAAAGCTCCACGTGATGTTAAGGTTAACCTAAAGTTGTCTAAGATAAAACCACTTCACGCCGAATGGCTTGTAAAAGTTAACAATGAAATGCAGGACCGGGGTAGTTTGATAAAAAAAGGTTTCCACAAAGCTAGAAATCACTGATGCTTGTTTAAGCATGGACTATTTCATGCACGAAACCCATTTAATGAAGATGATATGTGATATTAGACACTGATCATGTACACATGTTTTAACATTTTTACTGCTTAATGACTGCTTTTCTTACTTACTGTATAAAAAATGGATTAAAAAATCATTTGCTGAAATTAAAAAAACGTCAAAAAATTGAAAAAAATTCGGATTTTTGATGGTTTTGAATGCCTTCGAGCGTTCATATTAATGTCCGTTCACAATTATGTCCGTTCATGTAATGTCCGTCCAAATAAGGTCCGATAAGGACCACGACGTGCGACGGTCGCAAGCTACCATAATCCATATATACGGGGAAAAAAACTCGTTTGCTTACCCTTGTCTTTGACCTTCGGCACTTGAGTCATGGACCGCGTAAATATACTATCAACTTAATAACACCAGAATGTGTGTGTGTCTGTGTGTCTGTCTGTCTGTGTGTAATTTCCGAACGGTTATACAAAAAAAACGGTAATAGTTACGGGACTGGTTTTTTCGGTATAGTGCTGACAAAACTCAGACGAAGCCCATAAGCAAATTTTATAAAAATCGGCCGGTGGTAAGTGGTTTAATTGATGATTTTGTTCCAGAAATGTGACATAAATAGATGGAAGAGAGAACGAGGAGGATAACATGTACCGTAATTAGTTTAGCCCCACGTAATACTATGAGCTTAGAGCTCACTCTTGCGGCCGCTTTGTTTCAACTGTAGGGAGATTTCATACTTTCATAAGACAGCATTATGCGTGATATCAAATATATAATGCGGTTGTATACTTTTACATTGCAACTGTGACAGTAAAGTCCCGGCCGAAGGCACGGGTACCACTAGTATGTACATATTAAGTCAGTTTCACTCAAAAATATTTATATTTGACTAACTTATGGGCTTCGAATTGCAGAATAAATACTAAACAATTGATATGTTCTTAAATTGCAGAATAAATACTAAACAATTGATATGTTCGAATTGCAGAATAAATACTGACTTACTGAACAATTGTTCTACCTGGTTCTTTTAAGTAAAAATCTGAGTTACACAGCTCCTCCTCACATAATTCTATTTCAAGGGCATAATCACTAAATTCCTTGAACTTTGGGGCGAGCACTTCTTCCCTGTCATTTTTGGCATATTTCGACTCTACCTCTGCCTCTTCCATACAATCATGTATTTTTATCCAGTTGTCTACGGGCTTGCCATCCTCATCAAGTCCGGTAAGGAAGGTTGTAGTAATGGTTGAGCATACTTTCTCCCCCTTACACCACACACGGTCCCCTGGTTTGCAGAGTTGTTCCAAGTTGTTGTCTGTTGGTATAGACCAGGCTTGGCACTGGTAACAAAGAAGCGATTTAGCTGGTGCCACCATTACCACTATTATAGCTATTGCTATATTCATTTTGGCTTCTTTAATTGAGGCTACTGTAGATTCAATGTTAATTAATATCAGTTTTTATAATCGCTGACCATTTCAATTTATAATTATACTAGAAAGCCCTTGTATCACGTTGCGACCCCCAGGCCCACGGTCGTTTCACTATGGTGCGCGGCGGGTCATACAACGTATGACAAGAAAGCCCGTGATCATAGGGAGGAAGGTAATATGTAATAGTATTCTTTGGTAGTCAGTTTTCATAATTATAGCATCAAACTATATCTGTCACAACCGAGTATACAGCCCATTAAAATGTAGCTTGCACTGAAGTCTGAACCCAACGTAATTACCACAAAACCGATCAAAATGACGTTCAAACAATCATTGCACGTGCACGTGCGCGTTTCAACACCGTTACTATGCTACTATGGTTACTATGCAACTTCTTATTCTCATCTAATTTTCACGTGGGCGGTCGTACAAAGAGAATCTTTTGAATTATAAGTAAGACGTGGTCACAGGGAGGAAGTTAATATTGATAGTATTTTTTGTTATTAAGTTTAAATCGCGTCAAAAATTATCTTACACAACCGAAGATACAGCCAATTAAAATGTTGCTTTTACTAAACACAGCGCAATATCAACAAAACCGATCAAAATGACGTTAAATCTTAAAACAATCATTGTACGTGCACGTGCGTGTCATAACCCTCGTTACCATGGTTACTTTGCAACAACTTATTTCTCGTCTGATTTGCACGTGGGCGGTCGTACAACAAAAATAATTCTCTGAATTATAGTATTAGTAGAAATTAGAAAGCCCGTGGTCACACGGAGGAAGCTATAATAATATCATTTTTTATCGCATCAAAAAATATCCGTCACAACCGAGTATACAGCCCATTTAAATGTAGCTCGCACTGAACACAACGTAATTACCATAAAACCGATAAAAATTTCGTTTCAATAATGATTGCACGTGCACTTTTAACACCGTTACCATGGTTACTTTGCAGCTACCTTTTTCTTATCTATTTGCACGTGGGCGATCGTACAGTATACAAAGATAATTCTCTGAATTATAAAAGTAAGACTAGAAATCCCGTGGTCACAGGGAGGAAGCTAATTGTAGTTTTTGTTTGTAAGTTTAAATCGCGTCAAAAAATATCCTACAAGCCTACACAACCAAAGATACAGCCGATTAAAATGTTGCTCGCACTAAACACAGCGTAATATCAACAAATCCGATAAAAATGCTGTTTTAACAATCTTTGCACGTGCACGTGCGTGTAACAACCCTCGTTACCATGGTTACTTTTCAACATTTTGCTTTTTACATAATTTGCACGTGGGCGGTCGTACAGTGTACGTACAGAGAAAAATAATTCTCTGAATTATAGTAGAGACTAGAAAGCCCGTGGTCAAATGAAGGAAGCGAATAGTATTCTTTGGTAGTCAAGTTTTTATCGCATCAAAAAATATCCGTCACAACCGAATTAAATGTAAAACACTTCAAACACCACGTAATTACCACAAAACCGATCAAAATGCCCATGCCCCTCTCAAATCCTTGCACGTGTGCACGTGCGTTTAACAACCTGAACCCTCGTAATTATGGTTATTATGTTACTTCTTATTTCTCGTCTAATTTGCACGTGGGCGGTCGTACAGACAAAAATAATTCTTTGAATTATAGTAGAGATGGCGTTGTAAATTCATGAAATTATGAGCAGATGAACTATAAGTATAGACTCCACAAAACCTAAACTTAAAGTGAAGGCTTGGGTAATGTGTTTCGGTTAAACGTAACAATGAAAAGAGGTTGAAGCGTTTCCTACGAAAATTAGAGTAGAATTAAAAGCGTTCTTGATGTCTTGACAATTAATGGGCTGCTCGACATGATGTATACAGATACTAATTTGCACAATACATAATAGCCAAACTAATTTATTTATCGTATGACGTATCCTTACGTGACCGGCCCTAATACTAAAACAGATTTTGCCAGGTATATCAAAAATCACCTCTCGCAATTGTAAAGTGAAAATGTGATTATGAGTCGATTCCAATAATTTAAAAACTTCTTGAGTTATTTCGATTTTAATGAAAACAATTCCACAAATATCGCTCACCGAGATTCAGATATGGGTAATTTTGTCCATTTTTGGTCTTTTGAGTATATGATATTTGACCAAAAATCCTAGCCACTGACAGTAGTTATAAAATTTATTTGAAAATATTTAACCTCTGACGGTCAGAAAATTTAAAATTCCCCTAAAATTTTTGAAATGTTCGATCTCAAGGAATCATGGCAACTATATACTGCAAGCGAAGATCGCAACTACAGAAGAGAAATAAAATCTACACCTTGTTATACTTGCAATTGCATAACTTGCTGTTCGTTCGTTTGCTTTCCACTAATCTCATGCGGTTCAAATATAATCATTTGCACATCGTATAATCATAATGGGAGCTAATTGAGACAATTGACCACTCAGAGTTGGTGCTTAACTCACCTCACAAGATCAAATCTACAAAGGTAAAATTAAATCTACGCCTTGTTAGATGCAGAACTCGCTGTTCGTTCATTTGCTTTCCACTTATCTCATGCGGTTCAAGTATAATCATTTGCACATCGTATAATCATAATGGGAGCTAATTGAGACAATTGATCACTAAGAGTTGGTGCTTAACTCACCTCACAAGATCGAAACAGGAAACTACAGAGGAGAAATTAAATCTACACCTTGTTAGTTGCAGAACTCGCTGTTCGTTCGTTTGCTTTCCACTTATCTCATGCGGTTCAAGTAGAATCATTTGCACATCGTATAATCAAAATGGGAGCTAATTGAGACAATTGATCACTAAGAGTTGGTGCTCATCTCACCTCACAATCAATTGTTAGTAATAATTGTTGCTATCATGGCGCACCGGGTAACTGATCGTACTCCGTTTTATAGATCTAAATTGTAGAGTACGCTATATTGACCACAGACCAAATTTTATAAAATCACATACGAGTTACGACTAGGAATCGAGTACTAATTTAATTTTAGGGATTTAGCTTAAATTTCCAACCGCAGGTTGCTAGATATTAGAAATAATTATTTTTTGAAAACATCCTTAACATTTTGAAAATTAGTACATAGTACGTTATAATGTTATATGGACACGCTCATTTGAGTTTGAGGATATTGGTAAATATAAGCGACCCTATTAAAAGGCACAGTGTAGTTGACTTTGTCACACTATGAAATTACACAAACCTTTGATGGTTAGGATAATCGTCTCATCCTCTAGGCTAACTTTGTCACTTAACGATATCTTAATCAGCTGATAAGATATCGCTTAAATACGGCCGGCACGGAAATGGTTACATTGTCACACTATAAACATGTGACGGAGTAAATATGGACCCCTTACTGCTGTTTTTGACCAAATTTTTGAGTGTCCAGTTGATTGGATGGGTACATATGACCATTACCTACATATTTGACGAGTTTTTTCGTTAGATGGTGCACTCAGGTTTACTCTGTCACACATTTAAGAAAACATGTGAAGAATGTTTAGGGCACCCTGATAAGCAATGCTGAGTAGTGTAGGTTTATTTGATGGCCTGGAAGTGCTAGGAATTGTTATTATATCATATAGTCGTAAGGAATTAAAACACAGAAGGCACAAACAAGTTTACTTTGTCACATAATCTTGATGATATCTGAACATGTGTGAAATTGAACAAATAATGATATACCAGCTTAAACCCCTTATATTACGTACTATGGATCAAACAAAACTGCTAGTACCACGCACCAGTCACATAAATCATTATCGGTTGGTAATATGTTAATAGTGTCACAATTAAACTACCGCAACATGGTCAAAAATAGGGTAATTTCGTCACAAAAAATTATTATAACTCTGTTAGCTCCTTGCTGGCAAAATAACTAGTTCATTGATGATAAAGTTACATAGTATTCTAATAGAGGTATAGCTCTTCAAAATAGGGGCAAGACATGTTTACTTTGTCACATCAGTTATTATACGAGTTAGGTAATCGTCATCAGATTAACAGATCTTTTTCGTAGTTTGGATCGATTAATATAGGCAATAAAGCATCATATGCCAATTTTAACACACTATCTTGATATTGTTGGGGCAGGGAAAGTTAATTTTGTCACATTTTCAGCGTTTTTGACAAATTAATCTAAAATTGTTAAACTTGAGCTCTGATGTTCTGGACAATATTCGACCAATCGTTTCTGAAAGAATGCTGAATTCTTATAGAGTTATAGATCTTCAAAATTGGGGCAAGACATGTTTACTTTGTCACATCAGTTATTATTAGAGTTAGGTAATCGTCATCAGATTAACAGATCTTTTTCGTAGTTTGGATTGATTTATATAGGTAATAAGGCAACCTATGAGTATTGCTGAAAGCACAGTGTAAGGCCTACACGGACCGCCTCTAACTAGCCAATCCCTGTTTACATGCCGTGTAGCAGGGGACTAGAAAGAGCTAAACTAGTAAGCGGGGCATAGCCAATACACTATACTCCCATCATTGAGTATATTACCAACCAGAAGGAAAATTTCCTTGTGTTTGGAATCTACCAAGACGAAAGTTGTACAATCCAGCGAAATTCCGAAGAATCATTCCAGTAGACTAGGCGCATTGCAACCACAGCCACGGAAATACTTATGAGTATTGCTGAAAGCACAGTGTAAGGCCTACACGGACCGCCTCTAACTAGCCAATCCCTGTTTACATGCCGTGTAGCAGGGGACTAGAAAGAGCTAAACTAGTAAGCGGGGCATAGCCAATACACTATACTCCCATCATTGAGTATATTACCAACCAGAAGGAAAATTTCCTTGTGTTTGGAATCTACCAAGACGAAAGTTGTACAATCCAGCGAAATTCCGAAGAATCATTCCAGTAGACTAGGCGCATTGCAACCACAGCCACGGAAATACTTATGAGTATTGCTGAAAGCACAGTGTAAGGCCTACA